ATATATATATATATATATATATATATATATATATATATATATATATATATATATATATATATATATATATATAAATATAAATATAAAATACTAGTATACAGAGTGTAAACCCGAAATACATGCAACCAGAAGGGAAGTGGTGCCTTCTGCAGCAGAAAGACCAGTAGACACTTACAGTAATAAGCAATGGCATTGCTCTCAAACAGGCAGAAGCCATCGTCGCCCTGGAAGACAGGAACCTACAGGAAACAGCATCGTATGAGATGAAGTGGAAAGTCAGAAGAGCGTGTGATAGTGTAAGGCAGACTGGGGGCCCGTGCCCAGGCGGCCCCTCGCACCTTGCCGAGGGGGAAGCTGCTGAGGAAGGAGGGGGTGCGGTTCGTCTGGCCGAAAGTGAAGGCTGGAGGGGTGCTGGCCACCTTCAGCTGGGCACCGCTGTACTGGGCAGCAATCTGAGCCTTGAAGGCCCTCCAGTTCTCTGGGTAAGTGTAGAGAGTCTGCAAAGGAAGCAAGGGGAATTGTCAAGAGAGCAAATGAGAGTGGGGAGGGGGGGGGAGGCTGTGTCAAAAAGTAAAGGTAAACCCAGGAGTGATGCAGCAGTTTCTACAGTTTCCTAAGTGAGAGGGGTTCCACAGCCATTATTGTCAATATATATTTAAACCACCATCTTCAAATTCCTCACCTCCAAATAAGCAAATCAGATTCCCAGCTCATAAGGAGTAATTAGCAAAGACAATAAGCTGAACAGCTTACCAGACGTCTGTTAAACACTGCAGCGTTAAAAGCTCCTACCGGTTTGCATATAATGAGTAATAAACTACACTGCAGACATATTTGCTTAATGGCAAACTGTTAGGTGATTAATATTGCAGCTTATAGATAATTTTTTTAGTTTTTGGCAGTAATATCAACGAGTTAAGCAAAAACTCAACGCCGTTTGGTTCACAGTGAGCGAACAAATCTCTAAGTAAGGAGCCACGAAAGGTAGTTCAAGAAATTAAACGACACACATAACGGAAAGCAAGCCGCAAAGTATTTTATGTTCATTTAATCACAGAACGTATTATATACACAATTTAACAATCTGTACAGTTCAACTACACAGTTGTCACCACCCCCCCCCTTTGTTAAACGTGGCATATGAGAAGTGGGCTGAATGGGTCTTTTGCCCGGCGTTAACCTTACTACTAAGGCTGGCAAGACTTTTTTTTTTAATATACGACCCATTTCTCACAAATAAGGACGTCTACGGCCAGAATACAGAGCACCGAAACGAACCGCGGCCAGAATCCGACAGAAAAGCAGCAGATGACACCGATAATGCTCGGATGGGTAAAAGCGTCGCTTGCATTGCTACGTTTGCTTAATGCTATTCCCTCACACTCACCCCTGCCGCCATCTTCAGGACGAGAGAAAGGAAGAAGGGTGGCGCGCTCTGCTGACGTATAGACCACCGGGTACGCGCATCGTGGGTTCGGGCACGCACTGATAACGTAACGATGATTCTCAGAAAGGGACAAGTGTGCACGTGGTCCACAAACACCTGGAGTTTAATGAACCGACAACTGAAGAATATTTACATATTATCTGATTAAAAAGACAAAAACCAGTTCATATCGTTAATATTATATAGATTACATTTTCAGCATCTTGAAAGTGTTGTTGTAGTCAACTTCAATATAATTCTGAGTCTTAAAGCGAGTAACTACAGGTTTTAGGTGATTATGAAACATTACTGCACAATGAAGCCAACGGCGCCTTGGACATGACAGTATTAATGGCGCGTCGAACCACATTTGAAAGCCAGTTTCCGCAAAACATTAGTTTGATCACCAGTTATTATATTCCATCCATCCATCCTTTATCGGAACAACCCTGGGCGGGCGCCAACACGCCGCAGAATTATTATATTGATTCTTTTATCAAATAAGGTTAATGGGAAAAGTAATTCTTAAAAAGTGTAAATAGTGGGTTTGCCATTTACACATATATGCACACGTATACAATTTTTTAGAAATGAATTTGAGGGAGACTGATATCAATAGCAACAGTTTTGCAGACAAAATAAGAATTCCACACATTTACCCAAAATGTTTTATTATCTTTTTTAGACTGTCAACAGCACAGGGAACTACTATTGCTGTAGCAAATGTGTAGTAGCCAATATCAGATTAATATGTTGTTTAAATATATACAGATCACAGCTCGTAAAAAATGCAGAGTCATTTTAGTCTTCTAAGGAAAGTGAAACTAGTTTCAAAAGTGTATCGATCCTAGAGTCCAGTAACATTTATCATTTAGATCCAGTTTTGGAGAACAGTTTTAAATATCCCAGGCTTGCAATTCAGAAAGGGGCCTCCAGGAGGAGCAGTCATCGCTGAATCAGCAGTACTCATATGGCGTGTCCTTCCGTGGACAGTGGCCAGTACTGACACTGTGGTGCTGCCTTACCAGTCCAGGAATGTTTGCCTGGTAAATAGCATTCAAATCTCCTACCATTCAGTTTAATATACATGTACAAACTGCCTTAACAGCTTTACTAACAAGGCAAAATAAATGACTGTTAACATATATTAACACGATTTGTCATTGTTTTTTTCAATTCTCCAGTAATAGCTACCCAAATATGCAATAGTTTTCCTGTTGTGCCATTACATTTAAAACAAATTACATTAACATTTTATTTTCCAAAAAGAATCCATGTGTAGTTGGAGTTTACACGGAGGACAGGAGTTTAAATATTTACTCTCCACTCGTCATCTTTGCGAAGTTCTTGCCATCCAACAAAGCGCCTGTTATATTTCTAATATCTGAAGCACCATAAAATTATCACAAGTTAACTATGTCAGACTAAGTGTTTCATTACTGGGTCAAATGAAATCAGTTCCTCTCATCCAAGATGGCGGCATGTATGATCTGATGTGTGTTTGTCCCTTTGTCTATACTCATTTGTTTGCTTCTGTGCTCATATATGTGGATACAATGACTGAGCTCTTTGGTTTTTAAATGAAATAATTTTCAATGGATTATGGACTACTTTGCTACAGAAAAAATGATTAAATCTAAGGCTAGATGTTTATATCAGTAATCCATTTAGCTTAACCAGGTGCCAGCAAGAATCCTCAGGCCCTGCTAGTCCTCCAGGCCTTAGCAGCCTAGCTACCATCGACAGGCTCTGCTTGGATTTTGAGGTTCTGCTGGCCTCTCCAGGCCCTAGTAGCCCAGCTACCATCTCCAGGCTCTAGCAGCCCAGTTATCATCTCCAGGCTCTGCTAGCAACCCAGCTACCATCTCCAGGCCCTGCTAGCTTTTCTAGGCCCAAGTAGCCCGGATACCATCTCCAGGCTCTGCTAGCAGCCCAGCTACCATCTTCAGGCTCTGCTTTGATCCTGAGGCCCTGCTAGCTCTCCAGGCCCTAGCAGCCCAGCTACCATCTCCAGGCCCTAGCAGCTTAGCTACCATCTCCAAGCTCTGCTTGCAACCCAGCTACCATCTCCAGGCCCTAGCAGCCCAGCTACCATCTCCAGGCTCTGCTAGCAACCGAGCTACCATCTCCTGGCCCTGCTAGCTTTTCTAGGCCCTAGTAGCCTGGATACCATCTACAGGCTTTGCTAGCAGCCCAGCTAACATCTCCAGGCTCTACTTGGATCCTGAGGCCCTGCTAGACCCCTGCTAGCCATGCCTTAGCAGCTCAGCTACCATCTTCAGGATCTGCTAGCAGCCCAGTTATCATCTCCAGGCTGTACTTGGATCCTGAGGCCCTGCTAGCCTTTTTAGGCCCTAGCAGCCCAGCTACCATCTCCAGGTTCTGCTAGCAGCTCAGCTAACATCTCGAGGTTCTACTTGGATCCTGAGGCTCAGCTAGCTTCTCCTGGCTTTGCCAATATCTTCTGCTAATATGGCTCTTCTCTTAATGTTGCTTTGTTCATTGTTTTTGGAGAATTTAAGATCAAGTGATTTTTACTGGGTGAGTACATCTTACAACATCTGTGGCTCTTATGACATAGTCTATGGATACAACTGCTCAGCCTTTGTGCATTCCCCTCAAATGCCAAAAGAGTTGGCAGAGGACTTAAACTTAGCCTGGTTTCTACCTAGAGATATACCCCAACTTCAAAATCTTTTGATTTTAAATGATTATTTTCTGTTTGTAGAGATGTACCAGTCTCTACAAGTGTCTTTAATTTCACTCCATTTTTAGTGGCTGACATTTACAAAGCCCTGAAAAAGCTGGTTCCTGAAAAACCTCCAGGACCTGATCTTATAGAGCCTTACTTTTTAAAAATAGCTGCTGATTGTGTTGCAAAGCCTCTAACGT